TCAGCGGGCCACGGTAAAATTATCAAAGGCTGACTGGTCCGCGGCGATAAAAAGGTTGGGGACCACTGCCTTATAGGAAAAGCTCAAAATGTTCTAATGGTAGTCTCTGGGAGTTGTCTCTGGGATGGTAGTCTCTGGGAGTCTCTGCTCTGCTGGAACTGTAGGTGGTCCTTAGAAAGTTGACGTTTGCAGGCGTACTCTTGGGACCATTATTCTAAAATTAAAATGTAGCTTATAGGCAAGCTATGCTCATTTACTCAGTGGCATTTACTTCATATGAATTGTGTTTAGGAATTTAGCCCATGAACTGGTAAATGTCCATTGTCTGTTTTGCTGAAATCTTCCCAGGTTTCCAAAATAATTAAATCCATCATTTAGTGGACCAGCAAAAAGCTGTAGACACAGTACCCATGGACTTCAATAAGGCATTTGACAAAGTAGATCACAACCTATCTTTGGTAAGCTAGAAAAATGTGGGATAGACAGCATCATGGCTGGTTAGAGTCATGTATTTATTTGTTAAAATTTATTAGCCATCCCTTTTACCCCATACTAACTCTAAGTGTCTTACAATATCAAGATAGAAATATAAAGTCTAATAATTCAAATATAATACTACTTAAAAAAAATCAATCCAGCTAAAAAGATGGGAAGAGAGAGAGAGTCTGATGAAAGGGTGAGTTTAGTATCTGTTATTAATCTATGAACTACTGCCAATGTGAAATCTAAAGAGGAGCTGACCACATTCTGGGGGGAGGGTAAGATGTTTCAAAGGCCAGGCGCAACAACAGAGAAAACTCTTTCCCTTTATCCCTCCAGCCAAAATATCCTGGTCGATGGTGCCCACAAACATGATGGCACAGGTGGGGTGGGCTAATCCCACTAGAATGAGACAATCCTTCAAGTAGCCTGGACCCTCGACATGCAAATCTTTAAAAGTAATTAATAGCTGGAATTGCACCAGGAAGCAAACTAGCAGCCAGTGCAGCTCCCAGAGCAGTAGATAAAGGGCCACCCTTAAGGCTGCTTGCACCACTGCACTCTGTGCCAGCTGTAGCTTCTGAATGCTCTTCAAGGATAGCTCCATATGGAGTGCATTGCAATAGTCCAACTGCCAGATGACTAGGGCTTGAAGGCCTAGGTCTCTGACTGAGTGCAGAGACTCCTAATCCAGAAGATTAACAGGTTAAGAGATTGACCAAGTTGGAAGGGGCCTTATAGGTCATCTAGTCCAAACACCACCACCACCCTGCTCAAGCAGGACACCTTACACCATTTCTGACAAAAGGCAGTCCAATATCTTCTTGAAAGTCTCAAGTGATGAAGCTCCCACAACTTCCGAGGGCAAACTGTTCCATTGGTTGATTGTTGTTCCGTTGGTTGATTATTGTTGATTGGTTGATTGGCCGCAACAGGTGCACAACTCGTAGTTGTGCAGGGGCTCTCCTATCTGTAACTACCACCTGCTCTTTGAGCAGTCGTCACCAGTCCAGGAGAACCCCAAGTTGCAGACCTGATCTATCTGGACTAGTCCCATTCCATCTAGAACTAAAGATTGACATCCTGAATCTTGGGACTCCATGTACCCAAGGCCATTTGGTCTTGCTTGCGTTCAGTCGAAGCCTGTTGTCCCCCATTCAGCCACAGCCTCCAGGCACCACGGGAGGGCAGCAATAGCTTGGGTCATTATGTGTAGAAATATAGAGTTGGATATCATCAGCATACTGCAGACACCTCAACCTGTGGTGATGGATGATCTCACCCAGTGGCTTCATGTAGATGTTAAAAAGAAATGAAGAGAGTACTGAGCTCTGTGGAAATTCTATTGTTAAGCGTGGTGTAGGGACTAAAGTTGAAGCATTGGTTGTGATATTGTACTGTATGACTTGTAAGTCTGGGAGGAGGGACCAAGATGTGGAGAGAGCTGAGAGGGCAGAGGGGAACCTCAGGATGGTCACAGGCAGAGGTAGAACCCAGGGGCAGGGTGCATTTGGGGATATTGGACTTGCCACCTTTTCTAGCCATGCAGGCCTGATTTCATGTATTGGTGGTATTAGAGATATTGGTTGGTTTCTTTCTTCTTTCTTTCTTTATTCTTTATTGGCCAAGTGTGATTGGACATGCAAGGAATTTGTCTTTGGTGCATATAGTCTCAGTGTACATAAAAGAAATTAGTCATAGAGTACAAATAAGCAATCAAATCATGCTAGGAAACAATATAAATCGTAAGGATACAAGCAACAAAGTTACAGTCATACAGTCATAAGTGGGAGGAGATGGGTGATAGAAACGATGAGAAGATGAATAGTAATAGTAATGCAGACTTAGTAAATAGTTTGACAGTGTTGAGGGAATTATTTGTTTAGTAGAGTGATGGCGTTCAGGAGGAAACTGTTCT